GACCCACCAACTAAAATCACATCATCCAACTCGTTGGCTTTTACCTGGACAAAAAGTTGCAGATATATTTACTGATGCCCTAAAAAGTTATTGGCGCCTTTCCAAATTCACACCAAAATAAAATAACATAATTTTCTTCTCAAACCTGTGCCTTTTTAAGAGTTGCATTTATAGCTGTAGTTATATGTTGAAACAAGTCTGAGCATTCAGAATTAAACTCAGTTTGAGTCAGCAGCTTGCGGAACTCAGTTTCAATCTCAGGCAAATATGTCTGAATATTAGTCTGGGGCAAACGGGACAGTTTTACCTTGGCCCCTACCCACAGAGAACGAAGGATCTCCTCAGAGCGCGTATCTGCCACTTCCTTCTCGTGCTGTTCTGCAATGGCCTGGAAACAAGAAAAACTGTCTTTCTTTGTTTTATAAAGAATTGGCTGAATTTTTGTTAGGCTGCTAGAGTGACCGGCTGTCAGTAAGAATCCGTGCCGCCCCCCTCCCCCCTTTTCCTCCCTCTTCCCTGGGTTGTCAAAAATAATGACCTAAATATTACACTCTGATACCCGACCTCTTTCAAATAGTCCACCATCCTGGCGTCGAAGTTCTCCCCGCCGGGCTGCCGCGTCGAGCAGGCCAGGACGGACACCTCGTTGTTCTCCACCCGCACCACCGAGATGCAGCAGCCGCCGCCGCCCACGTCCACGATCATGGCCGTCCTGGAGAACTCCTTGTCGTAGGCGTACGCCAGGGCGGCGGCCGTCGTCTCGTTCACGATCTCAACCACCTCCAGGTCCGTAGGGACAATGACTGTACTCCACATTGGGCTGTGACCATCAAACCAACGCACATACCTTTAGGACAGTTTCCAAAAAGACCTGAAGAATTCTCCTTCTTTGACGGCGATCAACCTCAGCCAGACACAATCTCCTCAGGTTCGTCAAGCTTTCCTCCACTTCAGTGGAGACTTTCGCGCAGTCTGAAGCGTTCATGTGGGGATTTTTCTTGAGCCGTTC